AGCCTTTTTGGTTCAAGCCTTTTGGGATTAAGCAGAGTTGGCTCAGTTGTTTGAAGGCATGTCCTGTTCTTTGCAGCAGGTATCGCCCTAGATCTTGATCGCCACACGATGCGCAGCCGATCCAACGCCGCATCGGTCATATCTTCGTTGGGCTCGCTTTGTTTCGTCGCTATGAGTCGCAGCTGTGTCGCTGGCGACGTTGAGTCCAAAGGTACGCACAGTCCTGACAAGGAGCGAACACAACGGCTGCATGCTGACTCTGCGGGCACGGGCAAAGATGGCGCTAAGACGCCTCCGAAGAAGGCTGCCGCCGACGACGATGACATCGACAACGGTGCACCTGGAAGGCTTCCGCCGAAGGGGTCTGAACATGGGTACATCTACGTCGCAATGACTGTCTTGGGGACGTGTTTCAGCCTCGCGGCAGTGCTGGGGTGGTTCGACGACGTCTTTCCAGAGCAGGGGGGCACGAGATCGGAGAAGAGGGCTGAGAAAAAGGAGAAGAAAGAGAAGAAGGATAAGAAATCGCGTAAGGCCGATTGAAAGCCACAGTTCTGCGGAGTGGTAGTCGGCAGCCGGCGGCTGGGGCACGTCAGGCGTCGCGCAGCAACGAACACATCCGCCTTGTCCTTTTCGTGATCCAGTGGTGGGTCGGGAGCCTTTCCAACAACTTGGGGTTCGACAGGAGCTTCAAGCAGCAGCACAGTGAAAATCCAATGCAAGGACGGGCAGGCTTCCCAAGGGCGCCCTTGCGTCCTTAGACGTGTTCGGCAGTGCACCGTTGAAAAAGCTTCAGCTGGGGCTCCCGGGGCCGTCCAAGGGCTTCGCGGCCTTGCAAGACGCCCTCCCTACAGAATTCTCATGGCAGTGAGGCTCCCACGGACATCCCTCGGGGCCACGCGGGGGCTCGGGAGCCAGCTTCGGCGAGATTGTGCTGGATGCGCGTTGCAGGAGGGGGGTGAGCGGGGGGGGGCGGAGGGGTACGACCGACCAGGCTCACTTCCCAGCCACCCCCTCCCCCCACCGCAGCAACCGCCCCGCCCTACCCACGCCCCCGCCCCCGTCGGACGTGTCGCCCAACGGCCAGTTCCCAGCTGGTGGCATTGATCATTGAGGCCATTGATCCTGGATTTTGTAAGTCCTGGGACCAAGAGGATCTCAGGATTCAGAGATCGGCCCCAAACAGCAATAGTTTCAAATGTTTGGCACCTTGAGGGGGGAGGGAGGGCAAGGAGGGAGGGACGCCGCTGGTGGCGTCGATCGATCTGTGCTACTTATTGGGAAGCTCTGCGCTCTTTCAGGGTTTAGGGAGCCACGCGGTGCCCATTGCTCACGCCGACGTCGTCGCCGCTGGGCTGCGTTATGGCCCCGCTCGCTGCTGCCGTCGCCGTCGCGCCGACGTCACGCCGTCGCCGCTGTGCGGCAGCGTCTGCGGCTGCTCCGCCGCCGGCACGCCGGGCGTTTTTCTGGCGCAAGATCATTTTCCATCCCATTTTTGGGGGCCCGGAGCGGGGCATGAAGGTGCCGAAGGCGCTGCGGACGCACGGCAGGCGCTGCTCGTTCTTCCTCCGAGGAGCAGGAGGAGGAGGAAGAGGAGGAGGTGGAGGAGGAGGAGGAGGAGGCGAGGAGGAGGAGGAGGAGGAGGAGGAGGAGGAGGAGGAGGAGGAGTGGTGCTGCCCAGACCTCCTTGGAGACTCGTCGGGGATCGCGTCCGATACTTTTTGTTGTTACGTTTGCTGCGGCGTGCGAGAGCTGTGGCCCGGCCTTGGGGCAGCTCCAGGGCAACGTTTGCTTTGTGGAGGTCGATCCATGGAGAGGAAGCGTGTTGCCACATAATTTCCAGATATCTAAAGAATGTGTTAAACATGTTGTAAACACGTAAAGCCAGGCTTAAAACATGTTTGGAACATGTTTCCGACATTGTAAACACATTTTAGATTCAATGATCGGATTCTTAGGGTGTCCATTGTCGTGGCACCCGCAACTCTGGCTGAAAAGCCAGTCCTGGGGAGGGACGCGGGGGCGGACAGATCGAAACACCTGATTTGGGCGTCGGGGTCCAGGCTGCCCGCCATCGGCATCGCTGCAGGCCTGGCGCGGGGACGGCCCGACGCGAGTGATCTCCCCCTGTCGCCTCCGTTCTCCCTCCTCTTCGAAGGAGCGGTCTCAGTCCATGCGTGCAGCTGTTGGCTAGAGGGTGAGAGGATTGTCGTCGTTTTCGTATTCATTGTTTTGCCGATCGGCGCTGGCCCTCGCCCCCCCTCCCCCCCGCCGCTGGAGTAGATTTTGGTTGTTGTTGGCGCCTGTCTCGAGCAGGTGGTGTCTCCCCATAGGACGCACTGTCTCAAACAGTCGCTCTAAGCAGAGGTCCGGAGCCAGACCCCCCCCCCCGCCCCGCCCTTCCGCCCAATGCCGAAGCGCCGAATAAGAAAGCGCTCACGTTAGGACACTGAGATCAGGGAGCAAACAACCACATAAACCATGGACCTCCGGAGGTCCGCGCGGATTTCCCGCATCCGGTGCTGGACCCGCCTCCGAGCGCGCCAGGGGCAGCGCCGGAGGCGCCGCCAGGGGGAGCCCCAGCGCAGATCCGAGAGCTCCGCGCGGAGCTCCGACAGTTCATACTTATGCCGTTGCTGGTTTCCCTTCTGAGGAGGCGGTATTCCGACGCCCTGTGAGGCCACGGCATCTGCGCTCCTTTGTTTTGCATTGAGCTCATTTTCTTGCTTCTCTCTCTCTCTCTCTCTTATTTGTTATTTCTCCTCCTCCTCCTCCTCGTCCTCCTCCTCGTCCTTCTCTTCCTTCTCCTCCTCCTCATCCTCCTCCTCCTCCTCTTTCTGCTCCTCTTCCTCCTCGTCCTCCTCATCGCCTCCTCCTCTCTCTCCTTGCCTGCACAAGAAGCGCCGTGGAACCGCAGGCGCTGCCTCGGCTTCTTCCGCGGGGGCCTGCCGCTGCAGCTGTGCCTGGGGAGACCCCGCGGGCGGGGGAAGCCGTGCCCATGCCCACGGCCTCGCGGCCTGGGCCCCGTCGGCCTTTCCTCCTCCGCCTCCTCCTCCTCCTCCTCCTCCTCTTCTCCTCCTCCTCCTCCTCCTCCTCCTCCTCCGCCTCCTCATCCGCCTCCGCCTCCTCCGCCTCCTCCTCCTCCTCCCTCCGGGCAGCTGCGCGAGGGAGAGGCTTCACGCCGGTGCCCCCCTCGCGGATAGGGGAACGAGCGATGCCACAAACGTACAAACTGTCGGAGGTCCGCCCGGATGTCTCGGATCCTCTCTGGACACCCCCTGGCGACGCCTCCGGCGCCGCCCCTGGCGCGCTCCGCGCGCCAGGGCGGGGGGTCCAGCGCCGATCCGAGGAATCCGCGCGGACCTCCGAGTTGTGCTTGTGCCACTGCTCGTCTCCCTAGGGTCGGAGGAGGAGGAGGAGGAGGAGCAGGAGGAGGAGGAGGAGGAGCAGGAGGAGGAGGAGGAGGAGGAGAGGGAGGAGGAGGAGGAGGACGAGGAGGAGGAGGAGTAGGAGGAGGAGCCGGGGGCCGTTCTCGGGCCCCCATGGGGCCGTGGAGCGCACGGCTCCGGGTTGCACACCGGCCCGCGATGGGCCTCGCTCTCGGCGGCCAGCGAAGGGGGGGCAAAGAGAAGGGGCGGGCCTTCTCAGCAGGTCGAGAGGGGCCCCACCCTCGGGCTCTGAGCGGCGCCCGGCGCTCCTCGGCGGTTTTTCCTTGCTCTCGGCGGGCTAGAGCCCCCACACGCTCCGGGAGGAACTGGAGATCCTTTCATTCCTGAGTGTTCTACCCTGGGCCTCTTCCTGGCTACTTAGGGTGCCAAGAACGAGTAGAGACGAGCACTGTGAGTCCCCCGGCCTTCTGAGAAGTTTCCCAAGCCATCCCCGAAGACAGACAGAAGCTTCTCCGAAAGCGCGAGAGCTGCTGAGGAGTACCGCCGCCTTCTGAGAAGGCCTCCTCCTGCTCGTTATCCCCCCTCGCTCGCCGCCGAGCCTCGGGAGGGGTCCAGGGACAGATTTTGAGCGGACTGGGCCTCATCCCCTCCTCCCCCGAGTGCCTTCCGCGGAGCGTCCACAAGATCGCGCACAAACGGGAGTGCGCCGCGGTGTCTGGATTGTGAGGGCATGGACATGGTCGTCTTAGGATGCAACTCCTGGGAGGTTGCATCTGTACTGCATCGGTGCTTGTGTATCCGCGGTCGAGACCTGGCCTTGTCCGGCATCATCCCATCAGATGTCGGTTCATCCCGTTTTTTTTATGGCTTGATTTGGCGTGATCGGGGCCCCAATCCGTCCTAATCCAGCGCGATGGCGATTCAGCTCGGGCTTTATAGCCCTCAATCGTCTTTGCGACGACCTCTCAGCAGTTGCTTTCTAAATCGTGCTCGTTACCAGCCTGGAACCTATCCGTATCCCTGTCGCCTAATCTCGATGCCGACCTTGAGGATCCCCTCAGTGTTCGAGGGCGCAGCCCTAAAGACTGTCATCGCCCCCCTGGCTTGTCAATCCCAGGGGTAGGGATCGGTTCGAGGCAGTTTTTGATGGGCCCATTTCCACCACCACTGCCATATGTAGGACGGGGGAGAAGGGAGGATGAGGAGCAGCTCCTCCTCCTCCTCCTCCTCCTCCTCCTCCTCCTCCTCCTCCTCCTCCTCCTCCTCCTCCTCCTCCTCCTCCTCCTCCCCTCCCCCTCCCCCTCCCCTCCTCCTCCTCCTCCTCCTCCCCCCCCCTCCCTCTCCCCCCTCCCCCTCCTACCCTCCTCTGGCGGTGGTGGCGGAGACCCGGGCCCCTCTCAGCTCGCGCTCCTCGCTCCCCGAGGGCCGGCGCGCTCCTGCTGCTGCTCTACCTGGCCCTCGGGGGGGGCGGCGGCCCCGCGGCGGCGCCGCAGCCGCCGGCGGCAGCCCCGGGCGGCGCCGCGGCAGCGCCCGCGGCCGCGGAGGAGCACGACCGCGGCGCGGCGGGCGCGCACGGGTCGGCGGGGGGCGCCAGCCGTGCACGCCGCGGGCACCCCAAGCCAGACCTCCAAGAGCCTGTTTTTTTTTAGACTCTGGCAAGTTTACTTGCATGGACGGGGGGGGGGGGCTGAGCCTGAAGCAAGCCGCAAACGACTTGCACGTTCGGGGGGGCGCGGAAATCACGCAAGTCGAAAGGCACTTGCACGCTAGCATTCGCTTGAAGAGGGGCGAGGGGGGGGGGGGGGGGCGAACGCCATGCAGCTAACCTTGCCTGAATCCACAAAAAAACAGGCTCCAACGTACTGACAAAATCAATGCGGAGGTTTTGGTCGATTTTCGGCCTCTAGCGGCCCTCGCCGGACCCCGGGACCGTCAAACATCGGCTCAGGATGAGAAGCCGGTCCTGGGGGATGTGGTCGCGGCTTCCGGGGAGCCCGCATTGGAAAAAAACACGACATCGGATCTCTGGGAACGGTGTGTGAGCTAGCGGCGAAGTAGGAAAGCCAATTGTAGGATCAAGTCGGGCCTGTCCCTCTACATGAAGATATTAAAAAATGGTTTAAAAACATAGTATGGGGACCATTGTATCAGTATTTGTTTGGCTATTGTTGCATTGTTTTCGATTTTTTATGTTTCGTCTGCAATCGGTATGAAGGGGGGACAGGCCCGACCTAATTGTAGGAAGGCGTGGCCCGCGGCCAAGCCAATTGTAGGAACGCGTGGTTCGCATTTTCCGACAACTCGCGGTGTCGCTTTCGTCTGATGCATTCGCATTTCTGGAATGTAGGAAAGATGCTTCGTGATGCCCAACATTTTTGTTCTGCGCGAGCTCGGTGCCACAAAAACCAGATTCCCAACATCGCCGTTAACCGACATAGCCGTTAGCGCGGCCTTGGGCACAGCAGTCAGAGGAAGAACATCGAAGAAGAAAGACGCCATACACA